ATCGAACCCGGGCCGCACACATGCCAGGCGAGCGCGCTACCGCTTGAGCCACATCCCCAGCCCCTCTTTTTTTTTTTAACCTTTATTTCACTTTTTTATTTTTATGTGGTGCTGAGGATCGAACCCAAGGTCCCGCATGAGCAAGGCGAGTGCCCTACCACTGAGCCACAACCCCAGCCCTGTCCATTTTTTAACAGTGCCATTTGTCTTCCTAGGACTGACACGTGAGAGTTCTATGCTTTCTGGGTGCAGGTGCCACATTAGGCAGATCACCTTCTGATTTCCTCATGCCACTACTGTCCTTGGGCATGGTGCTCAGGTGCTCCTGCACCCCTCAGGCTCCTGAGCATCTCTGGGGCCATGGCCTCTCATGTCTCTACACATCTCTCATCCCCACATGTCCCCTGCCATACCCTCATGTCCCCTCACCCCATATATCCTCTCATTTCCCTACATATCCCCCCTTGTCCTTACATATTACCTCAGGTTCCCCAAATGTCCCCAGACTGCCATTGCATGGGTAGGACAGCTCTCAGGCTTTTCTGGCTACTGCACCTTGATTAGTGATTTTCAAGTCCCTACAATGTCACTAGTATCTTTGCCAGTGTCATTATTGCATAAGGTACAATATTTGAATCTGTTAGCTGAAAATTTTCTAGTTCATAAGGTGCTGGCAGTCAGTTAGGTTCCTGCAGTGCTTGGTGTAGTGGACTTTTATTTTCTGGCATGCAACTTTAAAGCAGTGTCTGGTATCATCTAGTTAGCTCCTCTTAGGATCTCATCCATGTGGGCCCATGGTATGTGCTGCCTGACCTATTGGGAAGGGGACTGATGGCCTCATGGCCTGGATGAGCTGGAAGCCTCTGACCTGCAGAGGGAAGGCAAAGTGTTCCCTTGCCCTCCCTTGGGAACCTGCCCTAAGGCCCAACAGCTGGCTTCAGGCCTGAGCTTTTTCCTGGTTGAGGCAAACTGCCAGACTGTTTTTATTTCTTTCTTTTCTTTTCTTTTTTTTTTTTTTATATTTATTTTTCAGTTGTAGTTAGACACAATACCTTTATTTTATTTATTTTCTTATGTGGTGCTGAGGGTCGTACCCAGGGCCTCRCACATGCTAGGTGAGCACTCTACCGCTAAGCCACAACCCCAGCCCTGTTTTCATTTCTTTTTAAAAAATAATTAAAAACCTCAGTGAAGGGAGACTCCACCTTCTACCCAAAGGGCTTGGCTGAGACCCCATGTCCCTCCTGGCATGGCTCTGGTGTTTTTGTATCAGTTGTTCGAAGTGGGGACAAGTCTTTATGTGTTCTGTGGGAAGGAGCTGTGGAATGTGAGTCATCTTTTAAAGAACTACAGTGATAGGGCTAGGGATAGAGCCCAGCTGATAGAACTCTCAGCTGGTAGAGTGCTTGCCTCCCAAGCACAGGATCCTGGGTTCAATGCCTAGCAACACACACACACACACACACACACACACACACACACACACACAGAGAACTGCAGTGATGGTTTCCAGGCAACTGCTGCTTACCTCTAAGGCTCAGAGATCACAAAGGCCCCTTAGGTGCTTGTGGACCTGCAGCCTGTGGCCCAGCCTTGCCACCCCATGCTGCTGGCAGCACTGAGAGCTCTTGCCCTGGCCTCTCCTGTCACCTGTCAGGGAGGGCTCAGGGTCTCAGTTGCTTATGTTCCTGTGGGATGATGGGCCCAGCACTTAGGGATAGTCCTGCAGCACATACGCCTCTCATGGGTCTACCTTCATTAGTCTGGCTTTACCTTGCAATGTCTGAATTCTCTCTTTGACACACAGGGAAGGGGTTTAGTCGAAGCTGCATGGTATCCTATTGGACAGGTTTTCCTAAATTACCAACCAGTTCTCTGCTGATGACACAGACGTGGATGTATGGAGAGATGACCTCTCGTATGGTGGTGGTGGTGGTGAGGGGCATGCTTGGAAAGCATGGCAGATGCTGCCTTCAGCCTGCAGAGAGGTCATCTACCTCACTGGGGTGCATCTTCCTGGCATGCTCTTACCCTTGTGGTGATTGGTGCCTTCTCTCCACAGACCAAGCTGTATACCTTGCCTGCCAGCCATGCCATGCGTGTGTATGAGACGCTTGTCAGCCACATCCAGCTCCACTACAAGCATGGCTACTCCCTGCCCATTGCCAGTAGCATCCGGCTACAGGTACAGCCAGGCTGGTGTGGGTGATTGATTAACCAGAGGTCCAGAAAGCTGACTCAGTCTCAGCAAATATGGTGCCTGTGGGCTGGAGAGATGGTAGGTGGCCCCAAGAGGGGCCCTCTGCAGGCTCTTCTCATCTTGGCACCCACCTGTGGCCACAGCCTCCCCATGATTCTCTGTCCTTTCTTTGTAGTGCCTGTGTTTCTGTGGTTTATCACTCTGAATCAGGTGGTACCCTGGGAGGAGGGCAGAGRAAAGGAAGCACCCTAACTTCCTGGGTTGCATGTGGCCCTGATGCTCCTGGGGCTACAAGATCTGTCAGTGGCCTGCAATATATGGCATGGGCTGGACAGAGGGAGGTTCAGGAGAGGGCTGGGCTAGTCGAGCTGCTCTGACCTCGCTCTCTGGATGTCATACCAGGATGAACGGAGGTCACTGAGATGGAAGCCCTGACCCATCCAAGAGCATCTGCTGGAGAGGGTGGCCCCATGTTGTTTTATGGGGGAAGCAACAGGACCCTAAGCAGAATTTATGGCATTTGGGGATGCAGGTCACTACCCCAGGTGGCCCCATCTGCTGTGGGGATATCTGCTCCAGGGGCTCTAACAAGAGTTCAGGCTCAGGGTCCATGTGTTGCCCGGTCAGAGGGAGGCATGTCTGCCCTGGCACTGGACTTCTGGCTGAGGCAGAGGCGTGGTTCACTCCTTGGCAGGCCTTCGACTTCCTGCTGCTACTGCGGGCTGATTCGCTGCACCGCCTCGGGTTGCCCAGCAAGGATGGGRTCGTGCGGTTCAGCCCCTACTGCCTCTGTGACTGCGCGTATGTGCCCATGTGCTGGAGGGTGTCAGGATCATTGGGTTGGAGGGGAGCTTGTGCTGTCTGTCAAGAATGGGTGTGTGTCTGAGGGACCATCCCAGAAGGTTGTAGCGGTGGGTTGGGTCGGGGGGACTGTCTGTTCTAACCTGTATGGCAGGGTATGACCTCAGTTGCTTGTCCCAATTGCTTGTGCAGGGAGCCAGAGTGGGGCTCTGAGAAGAAGGCCAGCGGCCCCCTTTCACCTCCCACTGGGCCATCTGGCACTGTCCCCTCTGGCCCTACCGTGCGGCTTGGCCACCTGCCCTACTCCCTGCTCTTCCGTGTCCTGCTGCAGTGTTTGAAGCAGGTGAGAGGGGCCCAGCTTCAAGCTCTGTTGGTTCAACTGAGCTGTTAGAGGAATTGCTCTGAGGGCTCCAGATTCTTGGAGTCAACACACTTACCCCTGCATTAGAGACCTTGGGAGCTTTGCATGTGTCCAGGTTTCGGATGTGTAGGCACAGCACTGTAACTGTAGACCTGCATGCTCCTCACAGGGAGGAGAGTGCAGTTGGGTCGGGGAGCATTTGCCTGGCAGGGTGAGGCCAGTCTTGAAAGGTGAGGAAGGTTCCAGTGGCATGAGTAAGCAGGGCTTGGAAGCAGGTAGGTGTGGTTCTGGGTAGCAGGTTGTGCTGGACCAAGATGCAGAGATGGGATGTCAAAAGGCTAGTAAGGGGATGGACAGTAGGGTATAGATTGGCAGGGGCTTGAGAGAGGGATGGACCTAGGGTGTAGGTGTTGGCAGTGAGATCCTATAAGAGACTTCCCAAGAGTTTTCAGCATTCTGCCTTGGACTTGGCCCTGGGTAGTGGCTGCTCCCTCAAGGAGGTTAGGCTAGAGGCTGCAGCTTATGTCCTCCTGTTGCCCTGGCATTGGGTTGATGCTGGTTGTGTGCCAGGGATCATGGCCTGTGGACTTGCTGCTTTCCCRGTCAGCTGTCATCGTAGTTTCTCTTCTGCCACGTCTTCATTGTTAGGGAAGTTCAGCTGGTGCTCAGGGTGCGCACTCTTGAGGCCCTGGGTACAGTGCTGTAGGCAAGTGGTACCTGGGCCATGTTGGGCAGATGTGGGGAGAATAGAGCAGAGATGTGGAAGTCCTGAGGTTGGCTAAGGAGGGAGGAGCTGCTGGCTCCCTGCTGGGCTCTGCTTACCTGGTTTCTGGAGGGTCTCAGCCACTACAGAGCAGGCTGACAGCCACTGGGGTCTCAGGGGCAGAGGCCAAGGCTTGCCAAGTCCCTGTGTGCTGAGAGAGTGTACTGTCCCAGCTGCAAGTAGCCTCAAGCTCTGACCTTTCATCTTCTGTCTCCAGTGTCCATAAAGCCCTACCCTCTCCCTGACCCTGCCTCTCCCTCTAGGAGACTGACTGGAAGGTGTTGAAGCTAGTCCTCAGCAAGCTGCCTGAGTCGCTGCGCTACAAGGTCCTCATCTTCACCTCCCCATGCAGTGTCGACCAACTGTCATCTGCCCTCTGCTCCATGGTAATCCCACCCATCAGGTCCTGTGCTGACCCCTCCTACGTCATACACAGTGGACCTGGTATCGCGGGGTGGGGGCCACAGTCCAGTCTCCTTCACAGGACAGCAAGCCTCTGGCAGGAGTTCATGCCATCCACAGCCTGCCAGGCAGACCTTGGTCTCCTCAGGCCTGGGGCCCTTGTGTGCAGTGCACACTATGCCTGGGGCCTGTGGGACTGTGGGAGTGCAGGGGACCCGTTCTACTCCCAGTTCATGGGGTATTAGAGGTCCCTGGTTAAGGGCATGTTTCTGAGTATTTGTCCCTTCTCTCCTCTTCCCGTGACTTTTGGGTCAGCCTCTGCCTCTCTCATGTCACAAGCAGGTCCTTACCTGCTTCTCTGAAAAGGCAGACCCCTGCCAAGAAGGAAAGCAACTATTGGCCCAGGCTCTGCTGGGCTCCCCAGCACCCTCTGCCCCACCAGGAGATCTGGCCACTGGGCAGGGGGTTCATGGTAGGTTGTCTTGGTCATTAGCTCTCAGGTCCAAAGACCCTCGAGCGGCTCCGAGGCACCCCCGAAGGCTTCTCCAGAACCGACCTCCACTTGGCCGTGGTCCCGGTGCTGACAGCTCTGGTGTCTTATCACAGCTACTTAGACAAAGCCAAGCAGGTGAGGGATGGTGGGGGAGGAGCACGATGGTGTCTGGGACTTGAGATCCTGTCCTGAGCCAAAGAGACACACTGCCTCCTTAATGGACTGGCTGTTAGGCCAGAGCCAGGTGAGCTGGCTYTGTTTCCCACTTTGGCCATTTGTCCCTGTCTGCTGGCCAACCTGAAACTACAGGTGTCTGAATCCCTGGCGTTTCTGAACTCTCTGGGGGGGGTCTGGGCTTTAATGTGGCCCTTGGGTATGCTTGTCTGGCCTCCTCTCCCCAGTAGCCTCTCTCCCTTCCAGAAGCATTCCCTGGCCTGTCCCTGCTGTGACTTTGGGAAGGGTGACTAGGCCTGTTTTGAATAGTAGGAAGGGCCAGCTGGGGCCCAGAGCTTCAGCTCCCTCTGCACCTACAGTCAGTGCAGAAAGCACACACAGCGCTCTTCTGGCCTGTGCTGCTGCCATCACCCACTGTCTCAGGAAATGGAAGCACTGGAGATGTCAAGAGCCCACTCAAGGTCCTTGCACCTTCACCTCAGGCTCAGGCCTGCCTCCCCAGACCCCAGTTTTTTCCTGTGATGCTATTGGGAGCTCGCGCTGCATTCTCCTTTCCACAGGCTGAGCTTGGCAGACCTGTCCCAGGGTGTGCTCTGCCCCTCCTGTGTGGCTGGCCTGCCATTCTGGCATTACCCCAGAAGGTAGCTGGTAGCCTCACTGCGTCAAGCAGCACCTCCCCTTGGCAGCATGGCCAGCCTGTCAGGGGGACCAAAACCTAAGGGGCTTTGGTCATAGCATGTCCTGGTTTCAGGATGGGCTGGGGAGCCAGATCCTGCTGGACAGTGGAGTGGGGTCAGGAAGGACCTGATTGGAGCAGCCCACTTGTGCAGGCTGCCTGGGTCTGCTCGGCTGGTGGCTGGCTCTGCCACAGTCATTTGGGGACCATATTGAGTTTTGCCCCCAACCCCTTTGGAGCCTCCCAGAACTGGCCAAAGAGATGAGGCCTGGGAATGGACAGGATGGACAGCCCTCCATCCCTGTGGGCAGGGCCTGAGGCGTCTTGCTTCCCGTAGCGTGAGATGGTTTACTGCCTGGAGCAAGGCCTCATCTACCGCTGTGCCAGCCAGTGTGTGGTGGCCCTAGCCATCTGCAGCGTGGAGATGCCCGACATCATCATCAAGGCGCTGCCTGTCCTGGTGGTGAAGCTGACACACATCTCTGCCACGGCCAGCATGGCTGTGCCGCTCCTGGAGTTCCTGTCCAGTGAGTATGTGCGGCCCCAGCTGTGAACCCATGTGCTCAGTGCACATGTGGGCAAGCATGCAGGGTGGACCCTCGGTTTGGGTTGTGCCTACTGTAGTGCCTGGTGCTGACCCCTCCCAGTCCCTGTCCCCCTGTGCACAGGCTGGCCTGCCTTGGGAACCTGGCCATGGCACATCCTGCCAGCTGCCTAAGTGGCCTTGGAGAGGCTGTTTCTTTCCTCCCTTGACATCACTGGAAAAATCTCCCCAACAGGAGATTCCCTTGACAGCCTCTGTCTGTCAGGGTACATACCACAACTGGGTGTTGCCACATCACCCCACTTTGTCCACTCCACTGTTAGATGGTGACTCCCTGGAGTTCAGGGTGCCTTGTCTGCCCCTTCCTGCCACCTTGTATGTATCTGGCCAATAGCAGGCCTTAGATGTTGGGGAATCAGAACAGAGTGTAGGACCAAAGAGAAGACCTCTTGGACCACACAGGGGCTTTCTTGTGTATTCTTTTTATTTTAYTTTGCTTCCCTGTGAAAACATAAAGACTGTTCTTAGCTTGTGGGTCATATGGGTGCAGACTATAAGCCAGGTTTGGCCTGAGGACTGTAGTTTGCTGGGTTGAAAAGGAGAGCCCAGGCCAGCATCAGGAAGATCATGTTCAGGTGGCCCTGGCCTTCCCTGTCTTGGACCAGAATGGCTATTCTGGCTTTTAGAGATAAAGCTCAAGACCCTAGTGACACTGCCAGTGGCTGTGGTCTACCTGCAGGCTGGCCTGGGCTCCCCTCACGGTGGTCCTTGCATCGCAGCTCTGGCCAGGCTGCCCCATCTCTACAGAAACTTTGCTGCAGAGCAGTACGCAAGTGTGTTTGCCATCTCCCTGCCGTACACTAACCCCTCCAAGTAAGTGCTAGCTCCCAGGCCCTCCCGCTCCTCACCGRGGCCTTGGCTCCTCTGCTTTCACCTGGCTGCTGCCCTCAGCCACCGCAGGGAGTACCAGGGCTGACCCTTTCTTCTTGCCTCAGGTTCAACCAGTACATCGTGTGCCTGGCCCATCATGTTATTGCCATGTGGTTCATTAGGTGTCGCCTGCCCTTCCGGAAGGATTTTGTCCCTTACATCACTAAGGTCAGCCCATGGAGTAGGGGCCTGTGTCTATTAGTGCCAGGATCCACTTCATCTGTGGAAGAGCAGGGACATTGGCAGGGGAGAAGGAGGAGGGGYTCAGTCTGCTGAGCCTGGCTCACTACCCAGCCAGATATGGACAGGACAGTGGAGCTGCCACCATCTTTTGGGTCTRCAGCTTGCCCCAGGCCTCCCATAGCACCACCTCACAGCTTAAGTCTGTCCTACTCCAGGGCCTGCGCTCTAACGTCCTCCTGTCTTTTGATGACACCCCCGAGAAGGACAGTTTCAGAGCACGGAGCACCAGTCTCAACGAGAGGCCCAAAAGGTTTGGGTGTGCTATGGGTGTGCCTGGTGTTGGTGTTGGACGGGGTGGGATCCCTGTGACCACTGCGGTGTATTTAGCTGGGGCTGGCCAGCTGCTTCTAGGCCAGTAAGTGGGTGTAGGAGCTGGGGTTTGAAGGTGTGCCACCATATAGGGTCTGCTGGGGCAAGATGCCCAGGATTTGAGAGATTAGGCAGGGCCTACAAGGACCATTAATGCCTTACACTCACCAGGCTGGCCTCCTATGGCCTTTGGCGTTTTAGATCCTGGGGGTTGGCATCTTGGCCTGCCTAGGTCACAAGTATGGTTGGATTTGCTGGGTTGGGGATTGGGGTGCTGGCTGTAGGTGTCCAGATTTGGGTCTCACTTCACCAGAGAAGCCCAGGGTCATGTCAGGGCAGCTGTGACTCAGCCTGGGCAGGGGAACCCTGTACACCCCCTGCTCAGCCCTGTGGCCTCTGGTTAACCCAGCCTGCAGCCAGGGCTGCCCTCTTCCTCCGGAGCTTGCTCACCTGGGGGCACGCTCCTCTCTACCATCATGACCGCTTATGCCAAGTCTGACAAAAAAGCTGTGCTAGGCCTCTATGTACTTGTCTGCACTTAMTGAATGGCTGCCCCGCCTGCCTCCACTTCCTGCCCAGGCTTTCTTGGCTCTCCCTATGTGGGATACGGCACTTTCCAGTGCGACTTACACTTAGAAGCCACTTGCTCAGGCTGCTGGGGCTGGGGCAAGGGTGTGAGTTTGACTGTCAGTGGCCAGAGTCTCCTCTCTGGGCCTGGCCATCGTGGCCTTGGTGCCTCCTGGGTCCCAGAGCTGGGTGGGGACACCTGGTCAGCACAGCCTGGAACCTGCCGTGCGGGCGATCCACACGTTTAATTTGCACCAACGTCCTTTGTTTTGGTATCATTGTGAAACCTTGCTGCTCTCAGTCGCCTTACGAGTTGTATTTTTATGCGTTTTGTTTTCTGTCTCTTCCCTGCTAACTGTCCTTTGGCATGGTTCTTTTGTTCATCTCGCGGGATCTCTCCATCTTGACCCTGTGGCCTGGGACCTTTCCWCCTCACCCCTCCAATGGCTTGTTTTCCCCTTCCCGGGAGCTGGGCTCTCTGGGGCCTGGGGCTTCCTTCCTCACCTGGTAGTTTGAGGATAGCCAGAGCCCCCAAACAAGGCTCGAATAACTCCCCACCTGTGAAAGAACTCAAGGAGAGCCCTGCAGCCGAGGCCTTCCGGTGCCGCAGCGTCAGTGTGTCTGATCATGTGGTCCGCAGGTAGCGGGGCTGTGTCGGGAGGGGGGCACAGACCCGGAGCTTGGCCCGTGAGCACCCGGGTGGCGGTGCATGGGGCTGCTTGCATGACCTTGTTGCCTGGCCAGGGCTAGAGGAAAGCCTGACCCTGGCCCAAGGGATCCTGGTGGCCAGGGGTGGAAAGGTTGCATTCTGTCCCTGAGACCTGTACAGCATGGGCCGCTGCATGGCAACCTCAGAGGCCTGTCTGGACACCCTGGCCAGGGCAGCTGCTCTAGAAAGCTGGACAGCCAGTGGTAGCCTCCACAGGCTTGTCCCCAGAGGGCAAGGGCTTTTTCAAATTAAAGCAGGGCCTCTGCAGGTTCAATAGAGACATTCAGGTTTGAGTTCGGCTTTGTCACAGTCCGTAGAGTAGACTTTTCTTCTTGGACTTCCTTCTGGGAAAGGTCTACTTTCTGTGATAGCTGGAGGGGAACTGGGGACTTTGGTGGAGGGGTGGTGGGCAGCTTGGGAAGGGCAAGCCAGCCCCCAGGCGTAGCTTCAATTATTTCTGCTGGCCAGACCCAGGGGCAGGCACAAGCTTTAAGAGACCGGTTCCAGGCAGCTGCCTACCTGTGGTCACCCTGCTGGCTCAGGCTGCACTTAGCAGAGGGGATGCCTGTGTCCACCTAGAAGCCCCTCCTGGCCTCAATATCCCGTGCTCTGGGACCTAGCTTCTTATTAATGCCTGCTTTGGCTCCAGCCACAGACTAGCCTCTTCTGTTGGGTATTTGGCCAGGAGTTGGGGGATGGAGAGGCATTCTGTGAGGCTCCTGTCAGCTCTTTTTTAGCAAGTCTTTAATGTGGCTAAGGGCTGTGAAACTTGTGACAGCYAAACCTACATAAGCCCTTCCCCTGGTCCCTGGGGTATGTGGAGTGCTGCATTGGCCCTGTCTCTCACTGAGCCCAGCCCTCCTTGCCCTAGATGGAAGTAGTGGCTGTGTGGGCAGAATGCAATCCTGCTCTGATCCCCATGGTCTTTGACTCTGCATGATTAAGCTGTTCTGCTACAACCATGACTAACTCTCCTGTGTGCTCGGGCAGAGGGGATGCCTGTCTCACCAATCTCTCAAATTTCTGCTCTGACCAGAGGGCCCAGGTCTTTCTTGCAAGGTGTTTCCCTCCTCCCTGGGATGATGTGGTCCACATGGTTTGCAAAGCTGCGGCTCAGTTGGCCGCTGCACCTGGTCCTGATGGGGTCTTTTGGAGCGAGGCCCTTTTGGCCTGTGCATGCATTGAGCTTTGCCCCTGGTGGTAGCTGTCTCGGCCGTTCCTGGCACTCTGACCCTGGCCATGACTTCTTCTAGCAGGATACAGACATCCCTCACCAGTGCCAGCCTGGGGTCAGCAGACGAGAACTCCATGGCCCAGGCTGATGACAACTTGAAAAATCTCCATCTGGAGCTCACAGAAACGTGCCTGGATATGATGGCCCGATACGTGTTCTCCAACTTCACGGCAGTACCTAAGAGGTGTGACCTGGGCTCCAGGGGTGGGAGGTACAGCCTCAAGCCACACCATGGTGACAAGTGCAGCTGTGCAGGCCATCAGGGCCACTCTGGCCTTCAGGAGTGGTTTGCCCTGAGGCATCTCTGAGAGCCCTGCTCCAGGCCAGCTGGAAGGCGACATTTTTTTGCTTTCAGGTCTCCCGTGGGAGAATTTCTCCTGGCAGGCGGCAGGACCAAAACCTGGCTGGTTGGGAAYAAGCTTGTCACAGTGACGACCAGTGTGGGAGCTGGGACCCGCTCATTGCTGGGCCTGGACTCTGGGGATCTGCAGGCCAGCCCAGAGTCAAGGTGACTGCTCCTTCTCCCCCATGCCCTGCTAGCCTGGAGACCTGGGGGAGTCCTTGTTTACCCTGTACATGGACACTTCTGTCCCTAGCTCCAACCCTGGCCTGCATGTGAGACAGACAAAAGAGGCGCCTGCTAAGCTGGAGTCCCAGACTGGGCAGCAGGTTTCTCGCGGGGCCCGGGATCGGGTGCGCTCCATGTCAGGTGAGTTCCCATCTGCCTCCTTGGTTGCTGTTGTATGGGGAGGGCAGCACCCTCTGCATAGTCATGAAGTGAGGCCCTTGTGGCTGAARGGCTTGCTTATGGTGCTAGTGTTTCGCATGGCCCTAGAGCAACTCTGGGCCTTGCCTGGCTCACCCCAAAGCTGTTTCTGCTGTACTTGAATGGGCCTTAGTCCAGGTATGTCTGGGACCCCTTCGGCTAACCTGGGCCCACTGAGGTTAGCAACCTTAGAGGGCCAGGCCTGGGGCTGAGTGCTACCACTGTAGCACCCTGTAGACATTGGCCTGGTGCTTCCAGTCTGACCAGACCCTGGGAGGAGCTTCTATCGCTGCACTAGTGGATTTGTACTGGGCAGGTAGTCACCAGCCCTCCCACCTGGTCCTCTGCAGGGGGACATGGCCTTCGAGTTGCTGCCCTGGATGCACCAGCTTCCCATATTCCAGGAGGCTGCACTTCTGCAGGACCACAGAATGTACCAGCTACAAAGCCGGAGAAGGCCTCTGTGGGTGCCCAGGTTCCAGCACCAGAGAAGACGAATCTGGCAGCCTATGTACCCCTGCTGACCCAGGGCTGGGCCGAGATCTTGGTYCGAAGGCCCACAGGTACTGAGAGGCCAGGTGGACTACTCTGATCAGGCCTACTCTGAGCTTGGGCCCCCCTTGGAAGGGGCCCCATCCCCACATAGTGGGATGGTTACCCTACTGCTGTGGCCACACAGAGCAGCAAGCACAGGGCATCTGGGCTAAGAGATTCTGAAAATGGGTCTCCAGAGGCAGTGTGTCCAAACAGGGCTGCTCTGGGTTGCACAGGCTGACATGGCAAAGCACCAAACAAGGCAGCCTGCACTGCAGAGGTTTGTTTTCTAGTCTGTAGGCTGGAAATTCAGGCCAGCGAGCTGGCTCCTTCTGAGGCCTCCGTCCTGGACTTACAGATGTTGCTTTCTCCCTGTGTCCTCACATGGTCATCTCTCTACACATCTGTATCTTAATATTTTTCTTTTTTGGTACTGGGGATTGAACCCAGGGATGCTTAACTATTGAGCCATATCCCTAGCCCTTTCTTATATTTTATGTAGAAACAGGGTCTTGTTGAGTTGGTTAGTGCCTTGCTGAGTTGCTGAGCCTGACTTTGAACTCATAATCCTCCTGCCTCAGCTTCTGGAGCATCTGGGATTACAGGTGTGCACCACCGTGCCTGGCTCTAATCTTATGAGGATACCAGTGAAGCTGGAATAGGACCCGCTCACATGATCTCACTCCTTACAGATGCTGTTTCCACATGCAGTCATCTTCTGAGGTCCTGTGGGTTAGGGTGTGACGTGGAATTCCGAAGGGATATAACTTTTCCCATAACAGGCATCTCAGCCAAAAGGGCTTAGCAGAGGCCTAGAGCCCGGGAGGTGGTAGAAGAGGACACACAGTGCTGACCTACAAGGCTGTAGCAGGCTCCAGTTGCCCTGCAGTGTCCCTGAGATTGACCTAGAGTAGCAGAGTGCTTGGTGTCCAGCAGGGAGGACATGACCACAGCCTAAGTRCAGGCATGTGCCGTTGGGGATGGCACACGAGGAAGCTGCCCAAGGGGATAGCCAGTGAAAAGTGCTGGTCTGAGACTTGAGGGATGCTGCTCTGCCTTACCCAGGGAACACCAGCTGGCTGATGAGCCTTGAGAACCCACTTAGTCCCTTCTCCTCGGACATCAACAACATGCCCCTGCAAGAGCTGTCCAATGCCCTCATGGCTGCTGAGCGCTTCAAGGAGCACCGTGACACGGCTCTGTACAAGTCACTGTCAGTGCCGGCAGCTGGCACGGCCAGGCCCCCTCCTCTCCCACGCTCTAATACAGGTGAGCTCTGGCAGGGCTACATGCAGGCTGTGAGCTGCCTGACTGGGGCACACGGTTCCCTCTGCTGAGGCCCCCCATACTGTTGTCCTCGCACATCTTCAGGGGATTGCAGGTGCTCTGGGCCCTGATGTTGGGAGCAGGCTCCCATCTGTTGAAGGGACCCTGTTTCTTAGAAACTGATTCCTGCTGTCTGCCGCTCAGGTGCTGCTGGGGATGGCAGTGTTGGGAATGGGTAGAGCTCAATGGAGCTTGGCTGGCACCCTGTATAGGAGGCCCGGGGACCAGGGCTCCAGGAGACACCACAGGCAAACACACATTTGCCTGATTGGGGTTGGGGTGCCTGAGCCTGCCAGCCTGTGTGCTCCAGGCCTATTGGCCCCATCCTATGCTGCACCCTCTGGCCTCCCTCATGTGGCCGCAGATAGTACTTAGAGGCTGAAGATATCTGCTGTCAGGAGAAGTTGGGGAGCGCTGCCCACCCAGAGGTCCCTGCAAGCTGCCTGGAGAGCCGGGAGCCCGAGTGCGCTGGCCCCGGCCGCCGCTGGCCCTCCCCTCTCTCCTCTCCAGGCTCGGGGTCTATGCCTGTCCTCTCTGCTCGGCCTGTGTGTAATCTCTGCTGCTGACGTGGCCGCTCACGTGGTTCCCTTGCAGTGGCCTCTTTCTCCTCCCTGTACCAGTCCAGCTGCCAAGGACAGCTGCACAGGAGCATTTCCTGGGCAGGTATTCGCGCATCCCTTTTAAGGAATGATGTTTGCTGCAGAGCGCCGTCTGCTGCAGAGGCGCTGTTCTCATCGTCCCTCATCTGGCCACCCCTCCATGACCCTGTCAGCCTCGCCGCCCTCGGGAAGCAGGGTCCCGACCGCATGAGGACACCTATGCAGATGCCTTGCTTTGCAGTGGGAGCCCCTGACTTGTGCCCTTTGTGCCGAGCCCTGCTCCACGCTGCACATGGCCTCCAGCAGGTGGGGTGGCCTGGTCTCTGGTGCCAGTGGGTGGCAGCTCTTGGGTACTGAGTTTGGCCTTAGGGCCCAGCTGAGCTGACCTTACCCTGATTCATGGTGGCCTGCATCTGCCTTCGTCACAGCTGGCCAGGGTCCCTGCAGACTGGCAGGAAGGGCAGTGTGCAGTGAGTGGGCTGCTGTGTGTGGGTGTCACAGGCTGCTTTGACCCTTGGCTGCTTCTCACCCACGGGCTGCCCTGATGCTGTGCRGAAAATGCTGTCTAGGGACCTTGGTCCCTCACTCCTAGCATACTTGCTGTGGGCCTGGCTGGGACTTGAAGGCAAGCCTCTGGCCTCACAGTGGGCTCAGTCTGTCGATGGCGCTGTCCCCCACATCAGCCTCTTCCTCAGGTCCCAAGTCCTGGAGAAGCTCAGCCTCTTTCCTGGATCTCTGGGGGCTGGTCTCAGGGACTGCACCCCTCCCAAGCTGAGACCATCTTGAATGGGGCTTCTTCCTTGTCCTGCCCTCACCTGCCCACCTTGCTGGAGGTTCAGAGGTGGCTTCTGGTGGACACCTGGGTGGGCAGAGCTGGTGCTCAGTGACCCCTGTGATCCCATAGGAGGCCCCAGTGCAAGGGTCCAGCGACCTCTCCCCAGCTTGCTCCATGGTGACAGCAGCAGGCAGAGCCCTGTCCCTTCTGGTAGGGAAGAGCCTGGTATTCTGAGGCCACATGAGTGCCAGGGCCTGACCCAGCCCCCAGCAGCCCCTTCTGTGTTCTCTCAGACTCTGCTGTGGTTCTGGAGGAGGGGAGTCCAGGTGAGACTCATGTACCAGGGGAGCCCCCTGAGTTGGAGGATTTGGAGGCAATGCTGAGTGCGGACAGGCGTTGCCGGCGCTCTGAGGCTTACAGCAGGGTGAGTGTGGCAGAAGATGCCAGGACAGAGCCCTGCACCAGGGAGGTGGGGGGAGCACCTGCAGGTGAGAGTCAGCCTGCACCAGACCTCCTGGCCCCACACTAGCTTGCCCTGTGAACCTGGCAGAATTTTATGTTTCTCATCTGAAAAAATAGCTAGCTATTCCACATTCCTCCTACTTGGGGCCATCTGAGTTCCCTCTGGCTGTCTGGGGTGGCCCCCATTTGCAGTGCCCTTGGTCCATGGGGTCCCAGATCCTTTGCTCAATATGGGCCCAGGGGGGTGTGGGGACCATAGATGCGGACAGAGGCCTCTGGAGAAACCTGACCAAGGTCCTCTTTGGGGTCTCACAGTCATCCTCAGCCTCCAGCCAGGAGGAGAAGCCCCACACTGAGGAGCTGGCTGCGGGGGGCATCCCAATTGAGGCAGCAGTCTCCTCTGAGGGTGGCCGGCCCTCCGTGGATCCCTCCTTCCAGCCATCACAGCCCCTGAGCAAGTCCAGCTCCTCGCCTGAGCTGCAAACACTGCAGGACATCCTTGGGAACCCTGGGGACAAGGCTGATGCTGGCCGGCTGAGCCCTGAGGCCAAGGCCCGATCCCAGTCTGGGATCCTGGATGGGGAAAGTGTGGCCTGGGCAGCCCCAGGTGAAGAGGGCCGGGGCTCCGCCGTACCCGAGGGTCCTTTGCCATCTAGTTGCCCCCGTTCTCCCGGTGGCCTCCGGCCCCGAGGCTACACCATCTCCGATTCAGCTCCATCGCGCAGGGGCAAGAGGGTGGAGAGGGACACTTTGAAGAGCAGAGCTGCAGCCTCCAGTGCTGAGAAAGTACCTGGCATCAACCCCAGGTAGGCCTCCTCCCATCCGCAGCTCCCAGACAGTACCTGGGGACAGGGCAGCTGAGTCACCCCAGGCAGAGCAGGCCAAGGGCAGGTCCTGTTGTCTTCCCTTGGCCAGTGAGGTGCTGGCCCTCTGCTCTCCCAGGGGTGGCCCTGAGCCCCAGCTCCACCCTCACCACCAACCCCTCCCCAGCTTCGTGTTCCTGCAGCTCTACCACTCGCCATTCTTTGGTGATGAGTCCAACAAGCCCATCCTTTTGCCCAATGAGGTAGGCACACCCTCCTCCCCAGGGAGGCCCCTGCTCTGGGCAGTGGTGGTCAGAGCCCAGCTGGTAGCAGGGACAACCCACCCAGGTAGGGCACTTCTATGGGGTGGGCAGGGCCGTGGGGTGGCCTCTGGCCAGGGCTCAGACAGGCTCTGTGTGGCTGCAGTCCTTCGAGCGGTCAGTGCAACTCCTTGACCAGATCCCTTCGTATGACACACACAAGATTGCTGTGCTGTATGTGGGCGAAGGCCAGGTGAGGCTATTGGGCTGGCAGGCCCTCTTGGGCTGGGTGGGCTGTGGGCTTCCTCCTGGGGCAGTGGGRGAATCTGCGCCCTCTGCCCCCTCCTCTGGGTACTCCCTTGTCCTCTGATGGTGTTTGTGGAGCCCTGTGCCAGGCACTCAGCTGTGAGGCTCATGTTTAGGCATGTGGTAGGTGAGTCGTGAGGACTGTGGGGAGAGGTTCAAGAGCAGAAGGTGCAAAGGCCTCTGGGGCGGTCTGGCCCCAAATGAGCACGGGAAGGTGGCCAGAGCTGGGGTGCCGCCCGTCTGGTAGCCTTGGTGGAGTGGGTGGGGTGCGGGGCTAGGCTTCTGGTGGGGATGGAACCCAGGGCTCCTGCATGTTAGGCAAGCAATGTAGAGACCACTGAACTACAGCCTCAGCACTCTGGGTGTATWTTGAAGAGAGCACTAACCTAAAATTTGCTGACCTGCTAAATATGGGATGGGAGAGGCAGGAATCCAGGGTGGTACCATGCCATCTGGCTGGGTAGCTGCCTGCATGGAGTGTGGACAGCAGCAGAGCTCGGGACCCTTGACAGCTGGGCTGGGTGCCACCCTGCTCCTCTGGCTCTCCCCACAGAGCAACAGCGAGCTGGCCATCCTCTCCAATGAGCACGGCTCGTACAGGTACACAGAGTTCCTGACAGGGCTTGGTAGGCTCATCGAGCTCAAGGACTGCCAGCCCGACAAGGTGTACCTGGGTGGCCTGGACGTGTGTGGCGAGGATGGCCAGTTCACCTACTGTTGGCACGATGACATCATGCAAGGTGGGCCACACCTCCTGTGCATGAGTCATTCCTGGGGGCTGGGTGGTGTGGCACAAGGGCTGGCGTACAGGCAGTGGCTGAGCTGCTGCCCTCAGGGGGGAGCTGTGTGCCAGCAGGGGCATGAGTTTGTGGCTCCAGTAGGCCCTCAGCTGCCAGAGAATCCAGGGACTGCCTGGTGGGAGGCACAGGGAGCTCCATTGAGACCCTCTGACCCCGGCCCTACACCCTGCATTGTACTGCCCTGCCTGGGGCTGTGCCTACCACCCAGCCCAGCCTCACTTGCCCACAGCTGTCTTCCATATTGCTACGCTGATGCCCACCAAGGACGTGGACAAGCACCGCTGTGACAAGAAGCGACACCTGGGCAATGACTTTGTCTCCATCATCTATAATGACTCTGGGGAGGACTTCAAGCTGGGCACCATCAAGGTGAGTGGGGTCCTTGTGTGTTGGGTGCCCAGGCAACACCTGAGCTCTGTCACCTACATCTTGCCTCTTGGACAGGTCAGAGGCCAAGGTGGCAGCACAGCTGGGATGGGGTGCCCAGGCCCACCTGAGGGGTCGTGGCTGGGAATAGGTTGCGTGACGGTGTGGAGGCCAGGCCTGCCTGCTTTGTCTTCATGGCAGACCATGGGGCCATGTTGGTGGGCAGTGTGTGGGGGTACTGGAGCTGTGTGCCTGTGGACCTAGGTGCTGCAGCATGTCCTGAGGTCYGGGTCAGGTCTGGAGTGGGCTGGGTATGGCTGTCCCCAGGCTGGTAAGGAGCAAGTTCAAGCACAAAGGCAGGTGGCAGAGTCTTGCCATCAAGGTCATGAGCCTCTATCACCAACAAGCCTGGTACTGAGGTCAGTGAGGCATAGACATGCTGATGACGTATCTGGGCAGGGCCAGTTCAACTTTGTCCACGTGATCATCACACCCCTGGACTACGAGTGCAACCTGCTGTCACTGCAGTGCAGGAAAGGTGAGGCTCGGGGATAGGTGGGGAGGCACAGGGGCCGAGCCCGGTGTGAGCACCTATCTCCCCAGACATGGAGGGCCTTGTGGACACGAGCGTAGCCAAGATTGTGTCTGACCGCAACTTGCCCTTTGTGGCTCGCCAGATGGCCCTGCACGCAAACGTGAGTGAAGGCAGATCCTGGGGTGGGATGGCAGGCACGTGCCCTGGATGGGGACTGACCTGCCTCCCGGCCCCAGATGGCCTCACAGGTGCACCACAGTCGCTCCAACCCCACCGACATCTACCCCTCCAAGTGGATCGCCCGGCTCCGCCACATCAAGCGGCTCCGCCACCGGGTAGGACAGATGAGGTTCCCTCAGAGATGTGCTGACAAGGGTTGGGCAAATTGTGTGCCATCCCTCCTAGGCTTGCTGCCGAGGCCCTCTTTCCCCCTCAGATCCGTGAGGAAGCCCACTACTCGAACCCCAGCCTGCCTCTGCTACAGATGCAGTCCACAGCCCACCCCAGAGCCCAGGCTCAGGCCCCAGCTGAGGCCACAGCCACCTGTGAGGCAGGCCAGCGGAAGCGCCTCATCTCCTCAGTGGACGACTTCACCGAGTTTGTGTGAGGCCGAGCATGTGCCCAGGGCTTGCTGTGGCCACCTCCTCCCTGTCCCTCCACAGGATGATAGACAGTGTTCTGTATATATATGAAAATAAATTGGCCATGTGTCCCCGGCGCTCAGACTCGGGTGCAGGTAGCAGTCAGACAGCTCCTTTATTTGACTTTGTCCGTTTTGTGGRGTTGGGGGCAGGATTGAGGCTATACCTGCAGCTGTGGCCCCAGAAGTGAGCATGCTCAGATCCTGGGTCTCTTGGGGACAGCCCCTCCCACATCAGTGGAGCCCTGGTGCTCACACCCAGGCCTCCACCTCACACACTCACACTGTCACACGCTCACCAACCCAGTCCTGGGAGCCAGCCCCAGGAGGGTCCTTTCCCCTGCCTGCCTGTCGCCCTCACTCCTGCCCTTGTCCTGCYCTTGTCTAGACCGGACACCGGCAGGCCTGGGTGCTACCTTGTCACCACCAGGCCCTAGGCAGGGGAGTGAAACAAAGGGTGTGATGGTCCGGGGCAACTGTGCCCCAGACTCTGACCCAGCCACAGGGCCTAGCTTCAACCACCAGGTCCATCAGCCCTAGTGAAAAATAGTGACATAGAAAAACACACACATTTTAACCCTGTATAAATTACTAATGGTAGACACATGACGGGGGGCGGGGCACTGGAGGTGAGTGCGCTGCGGGGGTGGGAAGGAGAGGTAATAACTTAGGGGCGGACCACAGGAGGTGCAGCTCAACTCTCCTGAAAGCCTGGATCCTTAGCGAGGGGATATGGCTGCCCAGGGGTGGGCCGGGCACAGCCCGCTGTACCTGAGGACTGGGGGAAATAAGTTAGCGACTCAGAGCCAGGTTCTCGCTGGTCCAATGCTGCTGTTCCTGCAGGGAGCTGGGGAGGGGCCCTGGGTCCTGGCTGGTCACAGCCTCTTTAAAGTGCTGAAGCCCAGAGACAGGCAGACCCACCCGCCTGCTCCCTGGGAAACCTGCGTGTAGCTGTTCTGCCCAACCCGAAACCCTGAGGGTGGCAGAAGATAATACTGAGCGGTGTCCACCCTGGCTCCAAGGGGCCAGAGCAAAGCCACAGGCCCTGCCCCAAAGAAGGGGCATGGCCCAGATTTCCTGGGGCTAAGGACTGCTAGGGTGGACCTTGTTTTTAGCCCACAGGCATGGCCTGCTGCGTCCTGTGGCCAGGTCCATACCCCGACCTGGCTGGGCAGGGTGTCTGGGCAGGAGTGGCCTGGCGCTGGGGGATGGTGAGGTGGGAGTCCTGCTGCTCCTGTGGCCTCGCAGGCTCTGTAGCTGCTGCTCCAGCTGGTAGACGTCCTCCGTGGCCTGGTTGAGGCGGTCGAACTGGGTCAGCAGGGCCTCAAACACAGCAAGGAGGCGGGAGGGCTCTGGCTCAGGCTCCCCCCGTGGCCCCGAGTGGCCCAGGCCCACACTCAGCCCGTCCTGCTGGCTGGAGGCAGTGGAGGGGTGTGAGGCACTGGAGCCAGCGCTGGGTGGGAGTGCGCCTGGGGAGGACTTGGAGCCCCGGGACGAGCGGGAGGGCAGTGGTTCCATTCCTTCAAAGCGGACCTTGTGGCGGAACTGGGGGCGGCACAGGGGCTCGGTCAGTCCGGCTGCACCCTGGGCTCGCAGGGCCCAGGGTGCGTCCCTCTCCCCCCCACTGGGCCGTACCCACCTCTTTGACCTTACTGAAGCCCATCCAGAGGCGCAGCCTGCGCAGAAACAGCTCCACCATCTCGTAGTCCTGAGGCTCCCAGGCTGGGCGGTATAGCTCTCCCCGCAGGGCATGATAGCGCCAGTGCAGGAGGACCGCRCCCAGCCTCAGGGCGCCCCACAGCCGCAGACCCCAGAGCCCCACACACAGCAACGGGGACAGGGTCCAAGAATCAGCGGGACACAGGTTGGGGCCCCGGGACCCTGGGCACAGCACTAGGAGTGTCCGGGCCGCGTTCAGGAGGGAGTCCATGCAGGAGACCAGCTGTGGGGAAGCAACACCAGTGAGGGAGTGAGGGGGTGGCCAGGCCAAGGCCCTCCCCGAGGGTCCCTAGCACAGTCACTTACCAGAACAGCCAGCTGGGCATAGGCCACGCCGAGCACAACCAGTCCTAAGGTGGCTCCCGCAAGCTCCGGCAGGGCCCGGCAGAGCGTCTTGCCAAAAACTGACCACTGTCGAACGAACCGTAGCTGCTGCGCGGCCTGCAGGTGGGGGGCGTCAGCCTGCGGTGCTGGGTCTGTGCCCAGCCCCGTGCCTGCCTGTCCCGTCCTCACCTTGACCAAGAGCAGGAAGAGCAGTGAGGCAGCCAGACCTCTGGCAACGGCACTCAGCTGTGCGACTTGGTCGAAGCTTGTGAAGTGGCGCGGACGACCGCTCACAAAGCGGGCCCACTGGCGGTCAGCGGCACCTAGCTGGGCCAGGCGCACCAGCGCCGTGGACGCGGTCAGCGCCACCAGCAGCCACCGTGCCCAGGCTCCAGGCTGCACTAGGCGAAGGCAGCCCTGTCTGTGCCAGGTGCGCACCTCCGCTACCGAGAAGTACATTGCGAACAGCAGCAGGCACACCTGTGGGTGGCCGCAGGCGAGGTCAGGGGCCTGCGGGGAGGAGCCTGCAGGGGAGGGGCCGGCTGGGAGGGGAGGGGCGGGCCGGGACTGAGGAGACCCCACCCCTCAGGTGGAGGGGCCAGGCCCAGCCCTGCCAGCAAACTGCCTACCGAGGTGAGCAGAGGCAGCGACAGTCCGGAACTGAGGCGCCGCAGTGCAAATGGGCGGATGCTGAGGGCCGCCAGGGCGCGGCCAGCGGTGGGGAACTCGAGGCGCAGCGTGACAGCGGCATGCAGCCCTACAGCTGGGCTGTAGCGCGTGAGCTCCACGAACACTGCACGGCTCCTACACGGAGGGCACCGTTGATGGGATACGTCATGCAGAGAGAGCCTGATAAGGGCAGGGGGCGCGACGCAGGATGGTGGGGGTGGTCATTGCATTTGGCCAGTGAGGAGGCCTCCCAGGAAGACTAGTGACAAAGCCACGGAGAGCTGGCTGGGAGGGAGGCTCAGAGGCCTGCAGGGGAAGCAGCTGAAGGGACAGGCGGTGCCCACCTGCTGTCCAGCCAGTTGTGCAGCTGCAGGAAGCCCAGCCTCGCACGGCTCTCCTCAAGATTCAGGCCCAGCTCCTGCACGTAGCCACCGCTGTCGTACACGGCACAGTATCCCCAGTACCAGGCACTGTGGGGAGGACCAGTATTGGAGCCATCCCAGCCTGCAGGCACCTGGGAGCCAGCAGCTGGCGAGGGGTTCCTCTAAAGGCCCCCTCCCACCTGCAAGGGCCCCAGGGCCCTGGCTCTGCTCACCCCAGCATGTCAGGAGCAGAGTAGGTCCAGGACTCAGAGTCGTTGTGGGCTCCACTCTGCCAGCCAATGCCATGGTCACTGGTGCTGAAGCCTCCTGCGGCTGAGCACACGGGCACTCCTGAGCCCAGAGGGTCTGGGCAGAGTGCTAGAATGCAGAGGAGCCCAGGTCGCGGTCACACCCCAAACAGGCAAGGTCACTGCTCTACCAGCTGGGTTAAGCTCCTATGCTGCCTGACCTCCCAGAACCTTCCCAGAAACCCAGGAGGTAGATATTGTCCTCTCTTGTTTTACAGAAAGGAAGCTGAGTCAGGATGAGGGTGAACATCACACAGCTAAGCTAGGCAGCTGAAACATGGCAGCCACAGCTGTATGGATGGAGCAAGGRTAAGTGTGGACGGCTCCACCTGCCTCACCTTCTTGCAGCCGCACTTGCCGCAACCGCGGGGGCCCCAGCTCGGGGCTGGACTGGTTCCCGTGGACGTAGGGCAGCAGCACATGGGACATCCATGGCCAGAACTCATCAGACCTGCCATCAGTGGAAGACAGAGTCACACACTCCAGCCAGTAGCTTCCCTGTTCCACTTGGCCAGAGTCCCAGAAAGCTCTATAGCTGCAGCAAGAGAGGAAAAGGCTAGAGCATGGTGCCTTGTCTGTCCTAGGGCTGTGCTGTGCGTAGCAGTCTCCCTGGTCTCTGCCCACTGGACACTGGTCACACCTCTTTCATTGCTCACAACCAACATGTACCTAGATATTTCCAAATGTCCTCAAGGGGCTGGGCTGATCTAAGCAGGATCAAAGTTGGTCTTGGTGGGCATCAGTGTCACCTTGGCCCAACAGACAAGTGTGTGTCCTGGGGTGTCCCTACCGAGTGATGGCCAAGAAAGCCCGGCTATCCAGCTCCTGCTTGATGGCACTCTGCAGTCGGTAGGCATGGCCGTGGCACGAGACGTCTCCATAATTGGCCAGCAGCGTCACCAGCAGGAAAACCATGTACACCAAGAGGCTCTGGGGACAGGGATAGTGTCGCTGTGAGTGGATCCCAGGCCACAGCATCAGGGCAGGGGTTTGGGATTGCTGGTTAGCAAACCATTCCTGGCCAGGGTATCTGGCATTAAGGAGCAGCACAAATGCCCCACCAGGGCCTCTCCTGGAGGCAGACACACAAGCAACTCAAGAACAAGGCTACTGCGCCCAGGGCCCTATAAAGCCAAGTGGGAGCCAGGCATGGTGGCCCACACCTGGAATGCCAGCTCTTGGGAAGCTAAGGCAGGAGGATCTCAAATTCGAGGCCAGCCTCAGGAACTTAGCGAGACCCTAAGCAACTTAGTGAAACTCTGTTTCAAAATAAAGTGCTCGGACATGGCTCAGTGGCTAAGTGCCCCTGGGTTCAATCCCTGGTTCCCCCCATGACCCACCAAAAAAAAAAAAAAAAAAAAAATGAATGGGAGCAGGGATTTGGGATGTCCAGCAGCATGGAGAGGGGCTGGTCGGTTTAAGGGGTGAGGAGTCAGGGCAGGAGCTGCAGCACTTCAAATGCCCACCAGAGGGCATTCTGTGGTCAAGAAAGGGGGACATGCATGTGCTGGCCAGGAACTAGGAGTAGGGGGATGGAGAGCGGGTGCTGCTGCTGAGGCCTGAGCTCACCCTCAGCATGCCATGCAGCCTCTTGACCTTGCGGGCTTCCTCCTTAGCCAGGAAGAGTGCAAAGCCATGGGGGGGGCGCACCCGGGGCACTCGCTCGCTCACGGGGGTCACAGCTGGACTCTCCACCAAGGTGTCGTCTTCATCTGGGTGCAGCCGCTTGGCCACCAGTGAGAAGTACAGGGCTTCCAACAGGACCTGAGGTGCGGGTGGCATCAGCCAGCCAGCAAGAGGCCAGTGGCCCCACCCCATCCAACCCACTCACCTTAAGTGGCTCCACTCCCTGTCAACCCACTCACCTTAAGTGGCTCCCAGCCGAGGAAGGAGGCCAGGAAGCTGGAGCTGCTCGAGAGGAGCCACATGACGCTCACGTTTGGGGGGAAGCTGGCACCGACCCACCCTGAGACCCCCACAGCCACAGCCACCAAGAGCAGGCTGAGCCCGTGGGCCAGGGAGGCACACCATGTGGGTAGCAGGTGCTTCCGCAGACTCTCCGCTAGTCCTGAGGACAGAGATAGCTGTGTGACTGCACGCCCAGAGGGAGGGTGTGGAAGGAGTATCTGACCTATGAGCGCACCTGTCC